AAGGAGAATTAGGAAGCTAAGCAGCCAGGTGCTTGAAATTGTGTGATGCTTGTAGACTAGATGGTATAACTGGTGTAGAAAATGTGATTCATCCTACCTCTGATTTAAAACTACACTGTATTTAGCTGTTAGACACTGTTCTTTTGGACAAGAGGACTCCTGTCATAATTTTGTAATGATTGATACAGCAACTCAGAGGAACACAATCTAACCTCAGCTACAGATAGATAACACAGAAGACAGATCCTCTCTCTAAATGCATGCAGTACAGAAGACAGAAAGCACAAAGTAGTAAATACTTACAGCAGACAAATGAGTTTGGGAAACGGGGAGCATAGAATAAGAAAAAATAAATAATCTTATTTTACTGTAAAATGAAAATGTCTCCACCTCTCTAAACAATGTCAGATGGAAGAACTAGATCACGGCAAATGATACAGCTCACAAATGGAGCAGCTGTAATAGTATACATGGAGCCTAACAATGATTATGCATATGAAAAGTAACTCAACAGTTCAGAGATCAGTAACAAATAGGTCATAATTCAGTTACAAGTCTGATAAATTTTAAGTCTGAGAAGTCTACACACCCATCCATTTCATCATGGAGTTAAATCTTGCCATTAATTGTACTTACTTTCTAGGTACTTTTTTTTCTCATTTCTGCATTATTTAGGTGTGTCATATTGTGATCATAAATACAGGAAACAAAACATCTTTCTTTGCTTTTTCTTCAAAGGACCAAGTGGACAGACTGGTTACTTCCTCTGTTAAAACACACACTTGGCTTTATTTAGCAGGGTTCATGAATCAACACATATGGAATCCCTTGTGTGCATGCAGCATTTATGTTATTCTGTACATACAGCACACATTCAAGGCATCTTCACAGCTCGGAGATCAGGAATTCGTTTTATCTTCTCTGAGTTGACTGTTGCTCAAATATATATCTAACTAATCTCATTGAATGAAGGATCTGGCTAGTAGGGGCACAAAGCTGGATAAGAATCACAGATCTGCAGGCAGTGGAAATCAATCACCTCGTGCAACCTGACAGCAGAACGGCTCGGAATTCAGGCAACTCAGGCAAGCTGGTGCTTTGCTTACCAATGCTCCAGTTCCAGCCAGAAGTGCTGTCAAAAACCGCTGTGCTAGCCCCACAATCAGCTTCTCTTCCAGTTTTTGCACCATTGCTTTCCTGTGAGGTTTCTGGAAGTGCTGTGCATCTCCTCTTTCTACTGAAATCTCTGCTTACTTTAAAGGGGTCGTTATGACACCTCAAATCCCTTTAATTTTCATGGCTTTGGGCTGCTGAGAGAAGAGACACCACATGTGGTTCAGCTATAAAGGGGAAGAGAAAGGGGAAAGGGAAGGGGAAAAAGGAAAGGGGAAATGGGCACAAGGAAAAGAAAGGAACACAGGTATAAATCATGAAGCATTTGCCAAGAGTGTGATAACATGGTATATTAAAAAGCCGTTAAATTCATTATCTCGAACTTAAAACTTTGCACAAAATTAATTCTTCTAATTAAAACCAGCCACAAGACAGGAAATTCGGGCGTAGGAGTGGGATCTTCTTAAAGTGATCTTCTTCTAGCTTGGTTTATCAGTGTACTTACCGGGAGCAAGCGCGCCCTCTGCAAATTATACACATCATGAAATCTCAAGTAGTCCTGCCAGGACCTGGTGATAAGTTGCTATAACAGCAGCTTGGGCTTTGAGAAATGCACTTTCCTTCGCACTCATGGCAACAGGTGACCTAGTGGTAATGACATCATTAACACATTTCACCTTTTTAAGCTCTCCCGCTGGTCTTTTGCTTATACTAGTTTATGGAGGAATCATTTAATTTTGGTGTTTCAAGTCCCTTGTGTTCTTAGTGGTATTTTTAAGAAAATAAACAGAAAAGTGGAAGGAGACCATCCTCTGGGATATGTGATTTGGGAGGAAACCATCTGATTCCATCAGCAGATTCTGTCTTGGGAATTTTTGCGGCAGATCAGATAAAGATTGCGATCATCTAATTCAGTTTTCCCTTCAGGAATCAGCAATACCTGCTTTTTAATAAGTAGTTACTAGATACTTGCTACATTTTCTAACAGATTCTCCAGGCAGATATGCTTGTATTTGTTATGCAAATGGAGGCATGTATATTAAAAAAGAAGGAATAGTGTCTTAATTTATTATTTGTCTAAGTCTTTATGGACTCTTCACTCTAGATACGCAGGCAGAAGGATCTTTTGTTACTGTTGTTGCTATGTCTCCACGTCCTTCTCTATATACCCTTCTGGGTACTGATTCTTCAGAAAAATATTACTAAATGGTTTACCTCTTCTTTTCAAAAGCTATCTTTCCTACACCTCTCGAATAGTGTACATACAAAAGAACAAAAACCCACTAGCTTCTGTTTAACAATTGTAACTTAATAACATCCTACAACTGAGATTTTTGTTTACAAAAACATTTGTCCTTGACAACTTGCTCCCTACCTATTAACTACTGAAAGTTATTTAGAAGAAGAAAAAAAAAATCAAAAAGAGATAAACCCGTACTGGTAGTACAGCATGCAGCAGTGAACAGTACAGTTCATGGGAGCCTTTCTGAACTGCATGGGGCTAGATTCTATCTCCATTGACATCAGCCGGGCGTTTATCACCGAATTCAAAAGGATCAGGCCAAGACTCCCACACTGAAAAAGAGCCTTTCACATGGGATTTGTGTTGAATATCCAAACAAATCTGGGTATTTGACACCTTTATTATACTCTAAATGCTTGGATACCACAACAATACAAGACAGAACTGGGTTGTCTCAAGAAGAGAAAGAAGTAATTGCTGTCTTCAACTACCTAAGGGAGGTTACAGAGAAGGTGGAGCCAGAGTCTTCTGAGGTTAAACACAAAAAGACAGGAGGCAATGGACAAGGGATGCAACATTGAAAATTCAAAACAGATAGTAGGAAAATTTATGTCAGTCGTGGTAGTCAAAAAGTGAAATGTGTTGCCGGAGCGGCAGTCAAAAAACGAAATGTGGTGCCCAGAGAGGCTGTAGAATCCGCATACTTGAAGACGTTGGCTGCATACGACCCTGAGCAACCTGATCTGACCGAGAATTTGGCCCTGCTCTCAGTGGAGGAGTTGGACCAGATGTTCTCCAGGAGACAGGGAAGGGAAGGGGAAGGGAAGGGAAGGGGAAGGGAAGGGAAGGGAAGGGAAGGGAAGGGAAGGGAAGTCTTAAATTTTGCGTGTTCAGTCCCTAGTACATTCTTAGACTGCAAAGAAACAGTGACAAATCATTGTGTGATTTATTTTTGCTCAGAATATGATTTGCATCTGATAGGAAACTATTTGGCCAGTAAACAGCTGTTACTTTTTTTTTAGTGTTGTACTAACTCTAAACTCATGTTAAGAAGCATTTGTTGGAAGTCAAGCAGACACAATTAGAAAGACAATACAATGGATGTTTGAAAAGCTTTCCTTCTCCTGCAAGAAGACTCATGTGACTTGTACCTTGTTTGAAAACAGTACAACAGCAGTACAACAGAAATTGCTAATAAAATGAGGTTTGAAATTTTTTTGTTATAGCTAGTAAAATTAAATGTACCCTGTGATTGTCCGTACCAATTATCTCTGGTTAGGCTTTTGTCTTCCACTGTTTTTTTCACTGTACTGGGAAAGTGGAAGAAGCATGATCAAGCTACATACATCAGGGGAATGAAAACAGTGATTCTATTTATGGAATGACTGTGCTCCTGAAGTCTGAATTTAGAAGATACTCAGTCTATATAATTTTCAAGTGGGATAGACTTGTGTAGGTCTAGCTGAATCTAACTGGTGTTACACCAGTTTGTGCCTGTTGAGGATCTGGAGTTATTGCACTGAAAGGTTAGGAAGTACTGTTGTTCTTCGTACAGAAGCTGGCTGGGGCCCAAGAATGCACAGGTTATGGGTACACCAACAAGCTACTGTGTGGTATGGACATGTGGCACATCCATTACTGGGACTATTTTGTGCCCGTACTGCTTCTACTGTGACTTCATGGCAAATATGAGATGTTCTGTACCTCTGTCACCAAGGAAGTTACACCCTTGGTGGCTCAAGTAGGGGCAGATGTCCCAGACCAGCTCCTTGCAAGCTGATCCTTAAACTACTTACTGGCCGCTTGGATCATTAATCTGTACCGTATTTTTCAGGTTCAGTGTGGGGAAAGACAATGTCAGAAATACCTGCACAGACTAGAAAATAAAACAACTCCTTGGTCTCAAGCTTACCAAAATGACCAAACTTATTTCACAGACGTCTTGTTCCTGTCACACCAAATGCCATCACACCTTTCGAGACAACCACCTGCTAAGTTTCCTTGTTCAGACTCCTTGCCATTTGGCACACACTTCATAGCTCTACGTACCTCAAAACCGTATCTCCCATGATTTTTAATTTTCCTAACATAGCACAAGCAGTAACAAACAAGATCTTTGGCTACACACAAGAACATTAATTTTCCTATGCAATGATGGACCACTTTAAGGGTAAGTCTTTTGTAATGCAGCTAAGAACAGCAGTCAAATAAAATAGATCTTTGTTTAAGTATTTAATTTTCTGTGCTGTAGCGAAGTGTACCTCCATCATTTACTTCTCCACCTGTCTACCACACTGAGGCCAGTCCTGTAGCAGAAGGATGCTACCTGTGTTTCTGAGCCCTCACAACGCTCTGCATACAGTGGACAAGACGACACAGGAGTCTTTCCATTAACTGTGGGACGTTCAGTCCCCTGGGATGGTCTTGACATCACGGAAGACATCTGAAGCATGACAGAATAGGAAGATTGTTCTTACTACAATCACTTTTTAACCAGAAATGGGAATGTCCTGCCTAGCTGACTTTTCGTAGTTTGAGAGTTTAAGTGCCCGGGATATGGGACCATGTTTTTGTATTTCATGAACATTTCAAAGTTAAAGACTTTATTTAAAAGAACTTCATTTAAAAGAAAAATAGTAAATGGCACATCATGTAATTGCTATTTATTTTCATAAACATGAGGTATTTCAAAGTGCTATAAGACGCAGCACTAAATGTACATCGCTGGAAGAAATTAAACACAGAACTTTGCAGTTACCCAGTTCTATGCACCAAACATTAACAAATACATTAACTGGAAGAAACAGGCTAGGAAAAGGCATATATAGTAAATTTCTTTACAAAAGTTTCTTAGTTCAAAAAAGTGATAAAGTAATATCTACTCAAAACTTTCACAACTCATTTTCATACGAAAATATAAGTATCAAATTTAGTTATGTATCAGCATCATACTAAAGTATACAGGCAATGTAAGAATTAGTACAGTACATAACAGAGATTAACAATATATTTGTATACAAAAACATGCTCCTCAAACATTGAGGTATTACAGTACTTAGGTATGAACTTCCAGTCTAACACTGGCAGCAAAAGCCACCTCTCATAACCCAAGACATGTACAAAAGGCAAGTGTGTAGATGGTATTTACAGAAAATTCCCACAGGGGTACAAATGCCAACCCCTAAAGTAACATCTGTTAGAACATAAGCACCATAAAACTTAGGAATGAACATTTTAAAACTCAACTAGATGTCATCAGCAGCTCCAAATGCTCACAATTTAAAAAAAAAAAAAATCCCCACCATCTACAGTTCTTAAAAAGAAAAACGAAGGCAGTCCATTCTTGTTTGGTGGTCTTGCAATAAACTCCTTGCAAGAACATCCATTTGCTCCGTACCCGGATAATATAGTTTGTCGATTACTTCAGGGACTGGATTGAAAGTAAAACCAACATTCTTAACGTCAAAAAACACAATTTTTTTCAAAGAATCAAAAATGTGCAAAGTGGCAATGACTGTCCTGGTCAGCAAAAACAAAACAAAACTAAGCAAAAGTTTAGCAAGTCCGCTTGTATTCTATTTTCTTTAGCAATTGTTGTTGTCTGGCTTGCAATTTTTCCTTTTCTAACAATAACTTCTGCTCCTCTGCCTGAAGGGAGTGAACATATTCAGTGGCTTTTTTCAAGATCACAACTTTTGCAGCTTTCTCATTTTTAACCAGTTCTGGAACATGGTCCCTTAATGTGAGGAAACTTGACCGTAGATCATTACGCCGCTGACGCTCCAGGATATTGTGGTTGCGTCGACGTTCGCTATCCTCTGAATCAGAGTTTCGAGGACTTGAACTCTTAGACTTTGGTTGGATCGTGGGTTTTACTGGACGGGGCACCTCGGTTTTTAGCTTTTTCTGCGGTGGAGCATCTTCACTCTCCATGTAGGGAGAAGGAGCCGCATAATTATGCTGCTGGTGAATCGGTGCGCAACGCTTTAAAATCAGTTCATTCTGCTGTGTCCTGACTGATGGAAAAGTGGCATTTTTAGGACGCACTGTAATCGTAAGGGTGGTAACAGCCTTGTTGGAGGAGGAGCGTCTTTTCTCCACTGTCACAACATCTATTTCTTCTTCTTCTTCTTCTTCTTCTTCATCCTCTTCCTCCTCATCTTCATCATCTTTTGGTAACAGAAAATGGAAAGTAAAATAGACGTTATTTTCACAGAAAACACTCTGAAGAAGTATCAACCCAGACATATTTACTGACAAAATATGTACAGTAAAAGCAGCGATGGAATAACTGGTGGCAAAAACAGGGTGTGCCCACCATCTGTAGTCAGATACAGACCTGGAAAAGCATGTAATACACCCGAAGTGATTGAAGAACTGCGGTTTCTTAAAGTTTAGTACGTTTAATGAGGGTTTTTTTTAAAAAAAACATTTATTTTCAACCTGAGCAGGGCTACCACACACACAACGGCAGCGGCAGCGAAGGGTTTTTAGACAGAATGCGTGTATTTCGAACGGGGCCGCGGAGCTGCGGTACAGGAGGCCCGCACAGTGCCACCACGCAGCCCGCGCTCGGCAGGAAAGCAGCCGGAAAAACGGAAACAATCGCTGGGTTTGTTCTGAGGCAGAAGGTGAAGCTGCTCCAGCCGGGGACCCTTTAAGCCGGCGCTTGGTGCACTGCCAAGAAGACAGCTGTTGGAAGTGCTTCCTCACCCAAAGCTGTCAGACCAGACGTTAAAGGGACAGCAGGCTTCGCAGCCCGGGCCGCATCGCCCAGCCCACGGCGGCGGGCGCAGGGACCGGACGCCACCCTCCGCCCGGGCGGGCTGCTCTGCGACACGGGGATGTCGCCGGGCATTCGAGGTCCTGTCAGCCCCAGCGCTGCTCCGAGCGGCCCCCGGCCGGCT